TTATTTTTTTTAGTTGGGTTTAACAATAAAAAAAACGGCTTTTTGTAGCGATTCAGAAAACCGGAAAAATCAGTTATCCGGAATAGCGATGGTCCCGATCGTTCCGGATAATCGGTTTCCTACTGTAATTATTATTTTTGAAATTTCATCCATTTCAATGTCCAAAAATGTATATGGTTTCCTTTTGTTTAAACTAAAATGTTTCGAAATAAACATTCTTTTTAAGAAACAATTCTTTATAAAAAATGGCTTTTTAAGGCTGAAAATTTTTTTCAAACTAATATTTTTACATATCTTGATGTTTTTGTTATTAAAAATCTCAACAATTAACTTTTTTTAACAATTTTATATCAATATTTTAGAAAAAACATGATTATTAAACTGAATTCCTAGCGTTGCACAAAGTAGCCCCACTTGGGGGCTACTTTGTGCAAGGTATGTTTTGACTTATTATTTGTAAATATTACATACAAATAATGCCAATAGTGATAAAATTTACTCGTCTGAGTCCAGTTATGAATATAATACCGATAAATTTTACTAAAGTTTGAATTATCATAGTTTTTTTACGTGTCAAAGTTTAAAAACTGCGAAATCCAGAAATCCTGCACAAAGTAGTCCCACATGACGGTATTTAAAGAAAATTTTTTAATTTCTTGTTGCAAACTTTACAGAGAAAAGCTACATAACATTCTTCAAGTTTCATTTTTTTAAAATTTGAGAACAAGATATTTAAAAAATTCCAATCTAACCACATGCTTTCTCAGTTTAGATTCGTTCATTGTTTTTTGCAGTTAGAAACATTTACCTGTAAAGTGCAGAACAAAGAAAGAGAGTTTTGTATTCTTTCTTTCTAATAAACAATTTTATATTCTATATTTATGCATCATTTAACTTCTTTTTCTATACATTCCTCTGCTTTTTTGCTAGCTTTTGGGGAAATACAGCAAAACAGCTTTGGAAAAATCATCCTCAAAATATACGCAACAACTATGAGCTTTTGACATAGCGATTGACAGTACAAATCGAATTTTGAATCCAAAATCAAATATTTATTAATAAAACAGTAAAATTAAATGTTATCACCATATAGTAGATTCTTGCAATAACTTTTTTTCAACTAAAAAATGTTTTGAAAGGTTAAAATGAAATTAAAAAAATTAGCGTCAATGCAACAGTTGTAATGATATGTCTACTAACATTGCGGTTAGTGATTGTAAGAAGATGGGTGGTTGGTTGGCTTGGTGAAGAAAAAAATAGTTTAACAATTTCATTGTAGCTTTCAAGAAAAAAGTGCAAAATAAAATTTTTTTTTAATTAAATTATGACTAAATAATTTTAGTTATAAAATTAAAAACATTTAAACATTTTGATTCAATTTGTCAAAAGAAAAAAAATGCTCCTAAAGTATCAGAAAAAATCATAAATGGTTTTGGCCCATGGACTAGAAGATAAAAAAGAAAAATTCATGCTTTTTATGAACAGGTGCAAATATCCTAATCCTTTCTCTGCCTTTAATGAACTACATAGTCCCATAGTCTCTAAAGAAAACAAAAATTAGACCCAAAGAGTTCTAAAATCTCTCAATTTATTCAGCAACCATGGAAGAGTTTCATGTGGCAGTCTTATATAGTTTAATAGGGTTATAATAGAGCAAGTTTTGATGCAAGCAAAGTATTACTAAGTTGAAGATAAATTTCAGTCTAAAAAAAGGACATAATGGATAATAAAATAATAGTGATATTAAGAAAATTGAAAAAAAAACTTAGTTTTTCTTTGTAGGATGTAGTAAAAAAGAATGTTTTAGGATGTAGTAAAAAACTTACTTTTTCTAAAATCAAATCAACGTATGGCCTAGTAGGATGATTGACAGAGGTAGAATCTGATATGCGTACGATTTCCTATTGAAAGAAAAATATCCTTATGAAAATACACTTTTAATATTTTGATTAAAAAAATATTGAAACAATATTTTGTGAATTTTTTAAAATAATCAATCAATAGCAAAAATGAATATAAATTAAAATATTTGAAATAAGAGTTCAGTAATTTGATGTATTTGTAAAACTAAGCAAAGTGAGTTTCAAAGAGATCAAGAGAAAAAAGTATAAATGATAGATGAGTTTGATACAGCTTTTCCCTATATAAAATTGATTGGTGATAATCTGCTTTTGAACTCATAGATAAAATAAGGATTGCGCACAACATCTGCATAACCAAACAAATCTTGGTCAAATAATTTTAAAATTAGATCTACTTAAACATAAAACATATATTTACTGCTTTCTATGCTTTTGTAAATAGTGTTATTTTTAAAGAAGAAATTTTTACCCTAAGAAACGTTGCAAAACCCCAGTTTTTATAAGATTAAGGAAAAATTTAGGAATTTCAAATTTTTTCTGAAAAAAGCTACCATTAACAGTGCAGTCTCACTGCATGGGATTTACATATGCGATCATACTTCAATGCAAATAGCACAAGCGCGACTAGTAGTTTCCTACATTTAGTTTCAAAACATTTGCATGTGCATAATTAAAAATAAATAAAAATTTTGAGAATATGTAATGAAATATTTTTAAAGAATGTGCGTATAGAAAAATCTCAATTCTATTAAGAAAAAAAGTAATATTACTAATTCAATATTTGTTTAACTTAAAACAGAGATTTCAGAACATAAAAAGAAATCTTTAAACAAAATCTAAAACCTTTTTTAAAAATAAAAATAACATGGTAAAAAACATTTAAAGAATATTCTTTTTTTTTTTTTTTTTTTTTTGCATTTTTAAAAAACATCAAATGAATAAGAAATATCGGGTATCCATAACTTATTCTTACACTTTTTTTATAGAGATAAAAAGTCTTAATGCAAAGCTGAGAAATATAGACAACTATCAACAATAGATGAGTTATTGTTGATAGTTGTCTATATTTTTCGTATTATCATTAAATTTTTCCTATTTAAATTTCATGACACAGAACAGAACCTCTTATTTGGAAATCAGAAAACCAGAAGGAAAATCGATAATTTTCCTGCAATTTTTAGAAATTTTTTTTTCTCATAAGAGTTTAGAATTTTTCTTTATTTTTTAAAAGATGTTTACTTAACCATTATTTTAGAAATAATCATTAGTTCCCTACACTGTCAAGAGAAGTAAGAGTCTTTTACTAAATATCATCAATCATTCCCTTTCTCACCCCCTATGTGGCGTTGCTGCGGTAGTGAATACTATAGGTGAAGCGAACTGAAGTGGTGCAGATCTTCAGAGTATAAAAGTGACGACATGGATGCGATAATTGCTTTTTTCCACATATTTTCTTCAACTGCTAGCTGTATTGAACGAGAGCACGTTGGGAGTGTGAAACATTTGTTTAATCTAATAAATGTTTTCTTTAGTTGTTTATTAGTCTCAAGTCTTATTTCCGGAACGCAGGGTAGTTCCAGAGAGTTCACCAGATGAAACTACACCCTACATAGCTGTTTCTTTTCAATCATAGCTCAGTGAGAAAGGGTGACTCATAGAACACCTGTTTTCTTATCATCTGGCCCTTAAGCAGGGGGAGTCAATACCACCAGCTTCTCACAGTAGGAGTCATCATGTCTGTTGATTGTTCAGTCCAGGAGAGTTAAAACAAATAATTTTATCTGCCTTTTTTGATTCTTAGAAATATCTTAATGTACTCCCTACAGGGACTGCAGAACTCCTATTTTTCCTATTACCTCTGAAGCCCTTCTTTTTTTCCTGTTAATTCCTACTTTTTCTTATTTTTTAAAAAAATTATCTGTCATTTCTGCTATTCCCCCTTGGAATATATTGGACAGCCAAAGAAATAGGAATAATGACTCAAGGTCAAGTATTGCAACTGCACCAGTTTTTCAACCCACTCATTTTGAATGGGGTGTGAGGAGGGGCAGAATATGGTCGAACAATATATTCTATTTATTATGCCAGCTTCTGTGTCTGCTTCCCAATTTATGTGGAGGAGAAATAAAAATAGCTCAGCTTAATGAGGAATAAGATTGTGATAAACTTGTTTTTCCTTCTGATTTAGATTAATGTTTTAGCAAAATGTTGTAACTCAAGTTAAACTCTTCCAGATAGTAATCGCGCGCCAGAATCACAGCGATATTGTCACAGAACGTTAGAGAGTTTTTTGCAGAAAGATTTTTCCTTAAGGAAGGAAAAAATTGTACATTTCTTTTCTGCAGAAATTTTTGAAAGATTTTTTTTCCATCCAGAATTATATTCAAACGATGTCTTTCTAGCACATAGGAGGAGGAAAAAGAAATGCTCGCGATTTTTCTCTTCTCATTAGAGAATAATGAAGGAAAAAAATTTGTTTTTCTTTGCTCCAGAAATTTTTGAAAGATTCTTTTTTTTTTTACATCCAGAATTATATTCTAACAATGTCTTTCTCAGTGGCTGGGTGGCGCAGTTGGTTTGTCCTCGGCCTTCTGAGCCCAAGTCAGCGGGTTCGATCCCCGGCCCAGACACCGGATTTTCGGGATGCAGAAAATCCTCAGCGGCCATGTCGTATGATTATGCGGCATGTAAAAGATTCCTTGAGTGCCTCATTGGCTCTTGGCATTTCCGGCAAAATCAAATTCCTAGTGCACTTTAGCATCCAAATAGAGACTCGGTGCTGCCATCTATTGTGGCAGAAACTAAACGTCCAAATTAACATGACCAACGATATCTCACCCATTGTGGTGGTCCTGAAAGAGTGGATACCACCGCTAGAGAACGCACTAGGTCTGCTCATCGGCAAGACCGATTGTGCACCTCATTGGAAATATATTTTTTTTAAAAAAATGTCTTTCTCACACATAGGAGGGGAAAGAAATGCTAGTGATTTTCTCTTCTCAATTGAGAAAAATATAGAAAAATGAAGTAAAAAATTGTGTTTTTCTTTTCTCCAGAAATTTTTGAAGGATTCTTTTTTTCCCCATCCAGAATTATATTCGAAAGATGTCTCGCTCGCACATAGGAGGGAAAAGAAACAATCGTGATTTTTCTCTTCTCATTTGAGAATTATTAAAAATAAGGAATAATGAAGTAAAAAATTTTGTTATCCCTCTCTCCAGAAATTTTCAAAAGAATTTTTTTTCCATCCAAACGTTGTCTTTCTCGCACACAGGAGGAAAAAGAAATGCTCATGATTTTTCCATTTTCACTTGTTAATAATGAAGTAAAAAATAGAGAGGATGGTTTTAGTCCTGACGCAGACAACGATGAAGTCGAAGAAAGCGACGAGGAAGATGAAGTCCCCCCTTTTTTTTCTATTTTACCTTTTTTGTTCATTTTATATTAAGCCTGTATATATTGTAATTTCATTATTTTTTTTCCTTTTTATCTTATTAAACTTTGGTGTATTACTTTATCATTTTTTCTTCTTTTTAAAATTATTTCTAAATATTTTTTTTTAGATGGGTTTAACAATAAAAAAACGGCTTTTTGTAGCGATTCAGAAAACTGGAAAAATCAATTATCCGGAATAGCGATGGTCCCGATCATTCAGGATAATCGGTTCTCTACTGTATTATAAAAGTTAGTTAGCAATAAGCTGAATCAGGTCATACATTGTCGATATTTTTGTATATGTTTCTTGATTATAATTTAATACAGTTTAAAACAGTTGAAATTAATAATAAGAACTCAAGCGAAAGCTAGAACACAAAGGCTTTCTATGCACAGCAATTGTAAAACTGCAGATAAGCTCAATTGACCTGAATTTAAGAATTACCTAAGTTTTCTTTCAGTTGTGAAGGAAAGTAAGCGTTTTTTTTTAAATTAAAATAACTTCATTAGGTTTGAACGAAGCAATAAAAGGACTTTTTAGGGTTTTGTGTCATTCTGAATGCATTGAACAAAAAATGATTACTAATTGTATATTATATTAATATTTTTAATTATTTGTCTAATTTCTTACTGTTTTTTATAATATCTTCCAATGTTTTGAAAAAGATAGGTTCTTACAGATAAATCTAAGCTTTGCTTATACTCTAGGAGGGTAGATCAAATAATATAATAATAGGGTGCAAAATAGGAATGTGGTAAAGTAATTAAAAGGTCTTATAAAGGAGTGGATGAAAAGGGGGCAGAGAAAACCAGAAATGCTAAATTGAGTTTCTCAGAAGCTATCCTTTGAGAGATGATCTCTTAAAAGTTCTAAACATTCTATCAATCAAACATCAGTTTACTTATAACTCATGATTATGGGATTGCACACATATGTCCTGAATGTGGAACTGATGAAAAAATTAATAATAAGGAGAGAAGAGTATTGACAACAATAGTAAAAAATTCTTAAAAACTTCAATATTAGGCACACAAAAAATCTATTTAACTAGAATAGAGCTTAATTTAATACATATTTTTATAATATTCAGAAAAATATAAAAGCATTACACACATTGTATTAATTAACATTTTATATCTGATTTATATTTATATCTCATTAAAATTATTTTTTTTAAATGAAAATAAATATTAATTTAAATTGATTATAAAAAGAAATTGTATAAGCATTACATTTCAACACAACTATGTCTCAAATTGATTCTTTTCTAATAATTTGTTATAACATCTAAATTAAAGTTTATTGGATAAAATAATTCTTTTTCTCAATTGAAGTTTTCTTTCTGTATTAATATTACATTATTATAAATTCTATTAAAAGTGAAATATCTACTTCAGTTAAATCATCCAGTTTTTCTTCAGCTTCACATCTTTCACTACTAATCTTTGATGCTTTGAAGTAAAGATAATTTAACATAAATCCTTTTTTAGTTGCGTTCCATAAACTACGAGGAATTTCAACCAGTCCATAACCTTCTAGAAGAACAAGTAGAAATAGGCCCCAAGTATTACTAGCAGTAATACAAACAACTTTAAGATGAGACCTATTTAAAACATAATAAATTGAAAATGCATTTATTATATATTAAAAATGTAACTATTTTACATGAAATAAAACATTATGTAAATAATAATTACTATGCAAGTATTGCTTAACTTCTTTTTTATAAGCACTTTTAAATTAAAAACTTTTTTGTGCCCAACCTCAGTTTAAAATTTCTAAAAGTATGTGTCACATTCTAATAAAAATTCTTTATCATCATTTGCATCATATAGTGCATTATCATTCATGAAATTTTAATAGTGCCATAGAATGAAAGACAACAACTTCATATAGAACCAATTTCTTAAATACAGTCAGTATCGGTTATATGGTCAGCTCATGGGTCCAGAATATTATGACCATATATGCGATAACCAAATATATAGTATAGTTAATATGCCGTAAATATATTCTGGAATCAGAATGCATTTTTTAAACAAATAATTCAACTTTCAAAAACGTTTGAAAATTAATTATTAAGATGCATAATAAGAAAGAATGCAAAAATAATTTTTATACTTTTAGAAAAATTTAATTCTTTACCTTAGCATATGTACATGTTCAAAAAAATATTCCAATAAGCTTGTCTGTTTCTTCTTCTTCGTTGTTAAAACAACTTTTTCTAAGTCTCTGATAGTTTTTAAATGTTCATCTGCTGCATCTGAATTTTCAAAAAAACACCTTAAGTCATCTATAGCTTTAAGAGCATCAGCTGTTGATACAGACTTTTTATTGCATTCAGTATCATCCTCATCGTCACTTCCTTCAGCATTCAGATTTAAGACATTAGATACAATGCCTTCCACAGTGGCTTCACAATTAGTGAGGACATCAACGTCTATTTGGGAATACAAATTTACGTCCGGCATTGCATAGCCTCAGTTTTGAAGAATTTCTGCCAATTCAGCTAATGGAAGATCTTCCTCGGGGTCCACNTCGTCACTTCCTTCAGCATTCAGATTTAAGACATTAGATACAATGCCTTCCACAGTTGCTTCACAATTAGTGAGGACATCAACGTCTATTTGGGAATACAAATTTACGTCCGGCATTGCATAGCCTCAGTTTTGAAGAATTTCTGCCAATTCAGCTAATGGAAGATCTTCCTCGGGGTCCTCTAATGATACCGAAGAGTCTGGAGAACTGTGGAACCCTGCGTGATGTAAACAATTTTCAACAGTTTTTTACGACACCATGTTCCAGCTTTGGTCAATATAGAACAGTGTGCTCAAAACTGAAACGTGAAATTCTTGATTTCAGTCTATGGCGGTGATCATATCCCGTAGAAGAAGCTTTCTATACATAGACTTGAAGCTTTGAATTATGCCTTGATCTAGAGGCTGCAACACACATGTGCTGTTTGGAGGCAAAAATAGGAGCTCAATTGATTTTAAGCCCTCAACAGGACAGTGAGCAGTGCAGTTATCAGCAATCAATGCAACTTTTCTGTTTTTCTTTGAAAAATGTAGGTCCCACCTTCTGAGAGTTTTTTCCCAGATCGTTTGGGTCATCCATGCTTTGGAATTCGCATCGTACAAAAGAGGCAAAGATTTACAATTTTTCATGCATCTTGGTTTCAGAATTTTTCCAATCACCAAAGGAATTATTTTCTCTGAACCATCCATGTTTGCAGATAACAAAACTGTTAAGCGTTACTTACTTTTCTTTCCGCCTATACATTTTTCTCCTTTGAAGCAAAGGGTTCTGTCGGGTAAGATCCTATAGAAAAGTCCACATTCATCGACGTTGAACACGTTAGCAGGTTCATATCTTTCATGAATATCTCGCAACACTACGTCTTTCCATTCTTTTAAAGAACTGTTGTCAAAATCAGCAGCTTTTCCGCACAATTTCTTAAAGAATAGGTTATTTCTTGCATTGAATCACTGTATCCAGTCATTGCTTGCAACAAAATTTGATTCTCCAAGTTCTTTAGCTATTTCCAAAGCTTTTTCTTTTAGAATATTCCAGGATATAGGAGCATTTTTTGATCGTGAATATTTGATCCATGACAGAAGAGCCTTCTCCACATTCTCATAAGGTGACACATGCTGATGTTTTCTTTTTCGGTCGCTAATTGAAACATCTGGAGAGCTACGTTTGGCTGCTAAAATGTTGTTTAAAGTTGTTCGCGGTATAGAATTTTCTTTGGCAAAAGCAGCTTTTGAAAGGTTAGACTTTTTAAACTTTTCAACCAATTCCTTTTTTTCCGATGTTGTTAAATTCCTTCTTTTCAAAGCCATAATGAGAGCATGGATACGTTATTCGTTCAGTAATCCAATAAAAATTTTCTTTTTTCTCAACTTCAACTCCTTTTCAAGCTCTGAGAGATAACTTCAAACGATCAAAAGACCTTTTGCCCTTGGGCAGGGAAAAGAATGCTAGTGGTCAAATGAGGAGAGGGTAAGGTCATCAATGAATGCAAAAGAGGAAAGAGGGTAGGTTGACGAAATAGAGGGGGAAATTCCAGTTCTCTCCAGGGGTCGAAGGAATGTGTTTACCTTTTGGTCATTTTTCTTGGCTTCCTGCCTAAAGAAATGTCTTAAAATGTATCTTTTTTCAAAAGCAAAAAAAAAGGAAACTGACCATATAACCGGTAACTCGAAAAATAGGATGACCATATAAGCGGTGAGCTTTAATACGTGTTTCCTATTAAGTTAGACGGGACTTTAGAAAATTGACCATATAAGCGGGGTGATCTTATATGAGGGTGACCATATAGGCGGTACTGACTGTAGTTTGTAAAACTATTAATATTGTGGAAAGTATAGAAATATGAAAATCTTAAACAGGGAAATCTTTCTAAGTGTTACTGTTAGTACTTTAAAGAAACATAACACTTAAAGTGGTGGGGAGAAATTATTGATATACTACAACAAATTTTAAATTAAAATAATAATCTATTGCAATTTTATTTGACATCCATGGGACTAGAGGCATGTTAGAAAATTGGATGGGACATTATTTAGGTGCATTTTCTAAGAGCAGAAATATTAAGCTGTAGTAAATTTTAAATTAATAATTATATAGATATTAGCATAAAATAGTAAAAGAGATAATATTGCATTGATAATATTGCAGAGAGACCAAATTATATTGCATTTGATGAGAATTAATAAAAAAGTTATTATACAAGGATGTGAACTAATATTTATGGATTAAGGATGGGACTGACGCATTTTGAGCTCGTTAAAAATTGATACTGTAATTTCAAGGACATACGCCATCCTGGGATATAGGCCGTAACCATGAAATTTGACTAAAAAGGATAAGATTTTTCTCCGAAAAGCTGCAATATCAGATACATTACGCGAAGTTTTACTGCGTGATTAGTCGCAAAGTTAATGCATCTGTTTAAAATAACAAGTTACACACAAAATAAATGATTAAACGTTTAAAAATGATCAAAATAATAATTAAACATATGATAACTTGATATATGCGATCGTACTTAAAATCAGATATTATTCCCGTAATTTTCATCATAACTTTTCAGGCAAAATTGTACCATGTACAATTTTGTACAATTCAAATGCAATGTAATGGTATTACATTAATAAATACCAATTTAAAATACTTGAACCAAGAAATTAAAAACTGAAATATAATTACAGTATGTAATTAAAATACAATAAATTGATGAAAAGAATCATACTAGGAGCAAAATTGAACCATATCAAACAATCGCGATCCTAACACGTCGAGTTATCACAATTTGATTGGAAATACCTAAATATTATTAACTGAAATAAATATTATTAAATAAAACCTGCATTGTTAATTCTTTACATTATTATTGACCGTAAATTATACAAATAGATCGCTGCAAAAGATAAAGAGAAATTATGAAAATTTAGAGAATAAAATTTTCAAGCTCAAGTAGTTAAAAAAAAACTATCAGATAGTACATCCCATTAGATACGCCACACATATCAAAATTTAATGTTTCAAATCATGACCAATGCAGCATATCTCTGCAAAATTATGGCAACTCAAATGCGTGGTATGAATAATATCATTTAAAAGATGTAGGTTTTAAGATGCATGTAAGCAACTGCCAAAAATTTTAAAAAAAGTCATGGATTAAACATAATTTTTATTTTGTAACTTTATTTTTCATTTTGTGCTTCTTGTTTAAGAATCTATTATTTTCAACTTAACTGTATTTTGATAGTTTATATTTATCTTGTTTAATTTATCATTAATCAAAAGGTGGGAGAAATGTAAGAAGCTAGCCTCATTCATACTTAAAACTTACTTTATGAATATGTAGGTTGGTACCGATATTTTTTGTGGTTAAATAGAATTCTTCAATTAAGATGTTGATGTGAGTAACGTGAATTAGTTTAATTTATTAGGAGAAAGGAGAACAGTTAGTTTTGATAAATTCTCGACATTTTGCTCCTGATGTATAAAATATTTCTATGGGTAAAGCAAAACTTTTAATTCAATAACTCTTCAACAGGTGGAGCAAGAAATGTGAAATCGTTTATGAACGAGCAAAGATCCAATGGAAACTTGTTTATAGACTCTGTATAGTTCCAAGAAAATTATGTTTTGAAAAGTGGACTGATATTCAATGGTAGAGCTGGTTTTCTTAGTCAAAACATTTTACCGTTGTGATCAGAAACTTGCCAAAATGTTCAGGAAGTGTTCTCGTATCTTTGAAAAGCCTAAGGAGTCCTTAAAAATGTTAAAGCATTAATTATTAAGTCTGAACAAGCAATGGCTGATGAAAAAGTAGGTATGAAGACTAAACAGAATATAGCAAGGATGTTAGAAAATATCACTACTGGTAAAACAATAGTGACATCAACTTGACACTTGGTTTAACATTTTATTTATAACAGGACAATTTTTGGGTTTATGGCTATAACTCTGTAGCCTTGTAATTTGAACCTAACCTAGAATACAAATAAACACTTGGATTAAGCACTAGGACAAACTAGTCTTTAATGGGGATTTTCTGATGTTACTAACCCACATTTGTGTGATATGGAGAGTTAAAAACCACATAAACCTCTGACAGTTAGTCCAACAGCAAAATGATTCTAACCCATGATATATTTATCATTGAGGATAGTTTACATCAGCACTGTGATTATGACAGAACTGGGACCAACAACTTGATAACTTAGCGCAACAACTCGTGTACTTAGCTAAACTACTTGACTAGTTAGCTCAACAAAATGATGTTAGTGTAACCACAGCATGGAGAATAGCCAGCAAATATCTTCACACTTTCCTCGTGAACTTCAATTAGGAAACACCAACTACAAACAGGGGATTAAAGACATATGGTTCAGCAAAACAGAGCTCCTCCACATTGAACAAGAGACATCCTGGACTTGCTCGGAGTTTCCTATGACAACTGCGTCATTGCACGAAGCTTCCCAAATTGCTTTGTGATAGACTTTTTTGGAATTTCTACAACCCTGAATTGTCACTGCTAGACTTCGTTTTATAGGGCTATGTTAAAGAACAAGTCTACAAAGATCAACTCCAAACCAAAGAGCAGTTGAAAACAGTGATAAGTGAGAAAATGTCAATTCCAACAGACCTACTTACAGGGTGAGCAGCCAGATTTTTCAACAAAAAATAAGCACTTTTCAAATACTTTTTAAGCACTCAAAAAATATTTTAATAACTTTCCAAAAAAAAAATCCTAATTAGGATCTTTGCAGTAATAATTTTTTTTTTTTTATCATTTAAAGTTCTTAATTTATGAACGTAAAATCTATAAAATTTAGAAACAGTTTTAGAAACTTTGCATAATCATGATAAAATAACTAGTTTCTGATAAATATTGCAGAGAAAATTACCAAAATCAAGCATTTTTTGTAATTTAGAACAACAATCGATATGATAAAGAAAAATCACTTTTTAAAAGATAGAAAACTAAGCAATTTCTATAAATCCCGAATAAAAAAATCACCTTTAAGGGCTTTTAAAAAACGTAAATAAAAATAAGCACCTTTTAAAAATGCTACACACCTTGTACTTAAGATAGTCGTCAGGAATTTTGAGCAGAGACTTGGTTTCATTGTCTTCAAATATTTCGAGAAAGTCAACTTTTAATATTTTTTTTCTTTGTATAAATCAAACTATGTATAAACAATTAAATATATTTTTCTATTCAAAAGTTACTCAAAGTTTTCTTCTTTTATACCCCGAAACACAATGTATTTGCAGGTATTTTGAAACTGAAATATTTTCTAATCAGTCCAGACAGATTGAGAATTCCTAAGTTGCAATAAGAATACAAAGTTTTTAAATGGAATGAGAAAAGATGCAAGATTGTAACATTGATTTTAAAAAAATTATAATATTTTAAAAAGTTTACGTAGGGAAAGTTCAAAAAGCATCATATTTGTAGCTGTGGAAAAGACCCAGAAGCAGTGTATATGAGAATAAAAAATCTCTTTTCTCTTGTCTTATACCTCTTCAGGGCACTTGTCATGACTCTTTATCTCACCTTGTTGGTAGCCAAGCATTTGATTTCTTTCCATGTTTTGTTTATTGTCTTTATTCAGCAATAGTTCTGCACCATGTCATTTTAGGGGTCTACCACTCCCTTTTGTTTACCTTGGAATGTCCAGTCAAGCACCTGTTTTACTTTGAATTTTTCAAGTTTTCTGATAGTGAGCCCCATCCATCACAATTTGCATTCTCTGATTTATATTTCTATTGATTTTTGCTTATTGATTTTGAATAATTTATTATTAGACATTTTGTGAAACCATTCCATATTATACATTTACTGATAAAAGTCTAACTTATTCGCATTTGTTTTCAAGTAGTATCAGGTTTCTGATCCGTAAAGGAGTGTAAAAAATACTAAAGGGAGGAAATTTCAAACTTTCAACAAGGAAATGAGGTTAGTCTGATTAATTAGATTTCTTTAATAGATGCCATTGTATCTTCAGAAAATGAACTTAGAGTATGCTTTTAAACTCTGTTGAGAAGTTAAATTTAGTTCAATAGACTAAACTATTCTGAATAAAATATTCTTTGAAAGAAAAAATGTGAAAATACTTTAAAAAAAATTATAACTTAATTTATAATTGAGAAAATCGAAATAAATAAAGCTCTGAATAATAAATAAGGCTCTGGCTAAATAAATAAGGCTTCTGAATAAAATATTCTTTCATAGAAAAAAATGCAAAAATACTTTTAAAAAAACTATAACTTAATTTATGATTGAGAAAATCTAAATAAATAAGGCTAAGCCCAACAAAAGCATAGTTATCATTTTTTTTTTTTTTGAAAATTCATTCAGAATTTGCTGCCAATAATAGCTGAAGCAATAACATCTGCGTCCTTATTTGAATAGGCTGAGTAGCCAAATCTTTCAACAAAAATAAGCACCTTTTAAGTACTTTCTAAGTACTCAAAGAATATTTTTAAGCACTATATACAGTAACAAAATGCAAAATAATGATCATGATAAAATAACTTGTTTCTGACAAAGAACTCTTTCCATTATAAAATTATCAAGAGATTTTTTAGTTTGATATCAGAAGGTAGTAACTGAAGCCTGAAATTGAGAATAGCTTGCAAAATGCAGCAGAGTTGCACACGCAAGTGCAATAATCTCACCGCACCCAGCTCAATAGATGCATCTGCGGAATCCAAAGTATTTTATCAAATGTGTAAAATGATTGGTTCTTTTAAATGCTACGAACCGAATGTAAGTTAAAATGGATTGTGGTCAAATAAATTGTTAAAACTTTGAATAAAACTATGTGAAAAGCACACTTTTGCATATTTCGTGGTGAAAATCGACATGGTAAAGAAAAAATTCTGATTTTCGATAAGGGAAAATTAAGCACTTTTTTAAAACACCCAATAAAAAAGCACCCTTAAGGACTTTTAAAGTACGTTAATAAAAAATAAGTACCTTTAAGCACTTTTTAATGCACCATGTCAAATAAAAAACAACATGGTAGACCAGTAATTTTTTACCATCAGAAAATGTATATCTTTCATGAATATTAAGACAAAAATTAAGATTGAGACAAAATAAATAAAAATATATGTGTACATGATAAAATAACATACCCATCAAGATTACTTTTAGGTTGCATCATAACATAGATCAAAAGTGTCCCAAATATAAGAAGATAACTACCATAATAAATGGCATTTTCTACAAGTGCAGTTTTCAATTTTCCAGAAACAGTGAAGTCTCCTGCAGTTGAATAGGATTGCATCAAGGGTAATACAACCCTAAAAATAGGAAAGAATAAACAATTTCTCAAAATTTTATTTCATTAATAAAGATTTAAATTATAAAAAATTTAAATTATAAAAAAAATTAAATTGTAAAAAAATTAAATTGTAAAAAATTTAAATCATAAAATACTCAAATTATAAAAAAAAATTTAAATTATAAAAAAATTAATTACAAAAAAATTAAATTATAAAATATATATTATTTTAGCGTTTATAGTCAAATTTAATTTTAAAAATATTAGCCTAAATAAATACATTTATTTTCAAGCTTTTTAAACAAAATTATATTTCTTTTCAATGAATTGAAGCAGATGTTTTGCACAAAAATCATTAAAAATTCTACATTAAAACATTAGTACAAAATTGGTATATCCCCCAAAAGTTTGTGTGTTCTTCACAAATATGCTAAAAACATGGATTGAACTAGAAACAAAAATGAGTAAGGTATAAACTTTATTAAACTTTCATTTAGTCCCTTCATTAACTTAGTTCTTCAATTAAGTGAACAATATTTCTTGCATGAATATTATGACAATATTATTTAAATTAAAACTTATCATAAAATTAATTTATTACATTTGAAAATTTTTAAGCATATGCTTTAACTATTGAAAAAGAATCAAAAGATTATTGACCATTAATTAAAAACGAGCTTTTGAGCTTCAGTTAAGAGCAAAATAAGAAGATTGAATAAAAAAAAGTACCAATTGGAAATCACTATTAATTTACTACTTTTATTGGGAAAAAAAGTGGATATTGTAATCCATGGTGTCAACAGGTCATGAAAATTTTTATAATCTTAATTCAAAATTTGATTATTTTCATGGATTTTTCATCAAACTAATTTTTAAAATAAAATTTCTCCAATGAATCTGATAATGAGGAATACGAAACATTTTTTAAAAAGTAAAGGTAATTAACAGATTAACTAAAAGAGATTTTAGTTTAAGATTGACAATCTGTAATTTGTATAAATAAAAGTCTTCACACATGCATCACACATTCTGTTCCCATGAAATTAGAAAATTAAAATTTGGAATATGTGTTCTTTATGTGATGAACAGAAAAAGTAAAAAAAGTCACATTTATTTATTTTGAGTTTGTCATAAGAGATTTAAAAAAAAAAAACATCTTTAATCCCTCTTTTATCCTTGCTTCCAAGGTTGTTCAGTCTAGCAATTATTTAATGCAGCTGAGGAGAAAGTCCAATTGGATCATGAAATTGCACAAATTAGTCAAAACTATTTCTATATCCAAATGAAAATTTAATCAACTCAGAAAAGAGTAAATCTGCTATTGTAAATTCAAGCAAAAATGCTGAAAGACTACAATTGACATAAGTATTTTTCATCCTATAAAAAAATTGCACATATGCTAGATTGTATTTATAATATTTGTAGAAAATTTAATAGAAACTATACTAAATAATTAAGTGCAAGTAAACTAGATAAAATAAAATACTACTGTTTTCAATAAAGAAAGATAGTTTTAAAGTCATTGATGATCATAAGTAGAAGCAATTAAGACCCTTTGTTTATAAAGTATGTTTTGTAAGAGTTAAAACTAATTCAACCTTTGTGAAGATAATGGATTTTATTAATCTAGAAACAAAAGAAACAATGAAATATGAAAAATGGATAAATATGACAACCGAAGCTGGCGTCTTCAGGGAGTACCAGCTCCGGAAGTCATAAAAGCAAAACCTTTTCTATCAAGAGAACACGACAAATGTCTAAAAGTGCTCTCTCTGTACCCCAAAGGTTTTGCCAAAGTCCAGGAAGAGAATACAATACAAAATATAAAATACATAAAGCAAATACATAAGAACAGTACGCACAAAGGCAAGTAAACTTGAAACAAAAATCCAATCACCAAATTACACTACTAAACACTTTCTTTTCTTCTTTCTTCTGCGCTAATTAGGGGGCGCTGTTTTTATGTTTACTTCAATTTAGTTGTGTCCCACAGTCTGTAGAGTAATTTGGTGATCAGATTTTTGTTTCAAGTAAGCTTTTGTGCGTACTATTTTTATGTATATGTCTTGTTTTTATTTTTCTGTATTTGTTTTATGCATTTTATATTGTACTCTCTTCCTAGACTTTGGCAAAACCTTTGGGGTACAGAGAGATCAATTTTAGACATTTGTCATGCTCTTTGCCTTCACTCCTGTAAGACTTAATAACTCTTAAAATGTTGGGTTGTTTAAAATTATTAGATATTTCATGATTATATAAACCTCTTCAAACATTTTTTAATGGCTCTTAAATTTGAGCAAAGAATTAAAAAAAAAAAAAAAAAAAACCTATTTTCCTCAAATTTATCGATTGCTAAGTTCTCACAACCATACAAAGCAATTGGCCTCATCAGGGTTTTGTATAAACTTAGTTTAATTTTTATTAAGATGAATTTCGACTTTAATTGATGGTATTGGTAAAACCTAGGATTTAGAAGACTTTGGGCTTTTACAGTAACAAATACAAATATAGGGTAAACTAACCAGTGAAGGAACACTTAAGCTTCGCTTGCCTTTTACAAAATTCATATTCATAATTTTAGTTAGATGACAGTGTCAACATATTTGTTACCAATTGCAAATTATGTAAAAAATTTTTAGAGAACTTACATAATATTGTTTTAAAGTGTTGGAGGTTCAAATAACAAGTAGTAAGAAGACCAAGTGAAGGGACAGCTCTACCCAGTGAATGAACACCCAGTAAAGGAACACTTAATTTTGGTTATTTTTTAATGCTCTTTATGAATTTATAAGCCATACAAATATTTAAAAACAAGCCTATTCTTGAAATTATAACATATAAATACTTGGAAAATGTTAACTTTTTTTTGTAATCATGAATTGAAAATTAAAGTGTCAACATATTAACACATACTGTTCATTCACTAGGAAATCTATGCCCAGTAAAGAAACATGCCTGTTCCCTCACTGGTTAGAAGTTGTTTTTCGTACTTTTAACATACTTTTGTTGCGGAACATCGTTAAAGGTACAAGATAATTAAAGTTTATCTTTTATTTTCATTAACTTAGAGAGAAAAAAACAGTAAAGGAACACTTGTTCCTTCACTGATTTTTCATCGTTTGGTGATCCAGTGAATAAACACCCCTTATCTCAGTACTTTATTATGCTATGATGCTTTAAAAAAAAAATTAAAACGTAACTTCAATAACTATATTTTGAATTCTCTTTTTCACAGTGAGAAAAATAAAACTATTACATGCAATTAATTCCACTTCAAACATATAAATACAAACACTCACCTCATAATTTTTTCAAAGAAACAAGGTGTTACAGAGATAAAAACAAATTCAAAAAATTTTCCAGAGAAGTCTATTTGACCAGGTAATCCAAAACATTGCTAGATGACTTCCCATTGTTTGGCAATAAGCTATTGTTACCAATCAATCTAAAGAAAAATTTTCAAATTCTTATTTTTAATCAATGTATATGAAATGTTCCTTCACTGGTTGGTTTACCCTAGTTCTAAGAAGGCATAAAATTGTAATAAAAATTTTAAAACTGTAGAAGATTTGAGCTGCAGAAAATGGGTCATAAATGGAATAAAACTTCTTCAAAATGTATATAACTGCTTAGATTAATGTATATTAACATGTTTAACATAATTATCACCATACTTTTAAAGTATGTTTAAATGTTTTGCTATCTAGCAGAAATTATATTTAAATAACTAAAACAAATCAGTAGCCTCATATCAAACAGAATATTTGAGTTTTAAACTATAATTTTAGATCTTATCTGCCAAGTAAATATAATTTTAGATCTTATCTGCCAAGTAGTTATCTGCCAAGTAAAACAGAGAAGTGACGCATATAATATTAAAATATTTTAATATTCAAATAACAAACTTCGAATTTTTGTTTACCAAGTTAATGTCTGAGCAGTCCAATACACTATACGCCATAAACTCTGCAAGACATTGTCGGAAACATAACTCCATGGCATTAAACAGTCATCTAAAAAGAATTACATAAGTAACCAATCATACAAGTATAAGGAAAGGAGAGTTATAACTGAGATGAATTAATTAACAGAAAAAAACAACATGTTAAACAAAATCATTAAAAAAAACAGCTTAAATTGATAGGTTTAAGTAATTATAATAACAATAGTCCTAATTTATAAGTAAATATTAAACAATTCATAAAACCATAAATTTGATCATAATGTATTGTACATTATTAAACAACAAAAGTAATAAAGAATTTTCTAGAAAAATTTACTTAAATTCATTTACTCACAAATTATAAAAAATATAGAAATGTAATCATAGTTCATTTAAAATATTACTTTTAGCAATGCATCAAAATACACAAAGAAAAATGCAGTTTATAAAAGTAGTTTAAGTTTTAAATAACACATAGAAAATGCACACATTGTCTTGAAATTATGAATCTTTATTATCTCTTTTGGTTTTTGCAATATTTATTATTGAATAGAATGTAAATTATTTATTTTTTAAAAATTTTCACTTCGTAAGACTTGACTTTTATTATATACAATATATATATATATATATGTGGGAATCCAACCTCCACTACAGCAGCGCCACCCCACTTTTGTAACACTTCAGCCAATATGCTCAGACGGAGCAGTTGTTTTCATATCTATAGTTATTTTTTAAAAATTAAATTTGATTACAAAAGCGTAGTTATTTCATCTATATCTGAAGTCAACCTCCACATATATATATATATAAATATATATAAAAGAAAAAAAAAACACTAGAGAACTCGAGCACTTCTTTCCTCATAATTTCTACAGATTTGGCTAACAATTTATAAAAAATTACACTATGATTATAAATTACAGCAGAAAAATTATTCTTATTATTTTCTGAAACAAGTTAAATAAAATTTGCTTAAGAAATTAACTGTGGAATGGTTTCTACTAAATGGTTCATTCAAAGAAAATCTTTCTTAGAAAATTGAAGAAATCATCTTTGACAAGTGAGGAACTAGAAAATATTTTGGTGTGAGATAAAAGCTGTGATTAACTAGATACACATTATTTATGCGACTACAGACTTGACTGAAACCTTTGTTTGACATCATCTCATATGCTACTCAGAAAACTATTAATCAGTTTACCATCAGTCAAACTATCCAGCATAGACTGTGTATCGAATTCGACAAAAAAATATCGACAAAAAAATTTTTATATCGGAAGAGAAACCAAATTTGGGAGAAAAAGGACTATCTTTTAAATTTAAAAGCTGTCAACCATGTGAACTGGATGAAGGTAATACCAGTTTCAAGGTTCTAATTAATGATTACAAACTTCTAAGAGGCAAGATGAAACTTGGAAATATTATGGAAACAATCAAAATAAGAGCCTTAAAAACTTCAATAAACAAAGGTTCTATAAATCTACTATATAATTTAGAAGTGAACAATTAAATCTATTGCAATTAATATTTGAACACTTCATTTGAGTTTTAAATATGCATTGATTATTATTTGAATATTTTATTTTGTAATATTGCTTTAGGTTAACATTTATTTAATTTTGGAGTTTTTCATTTAAAGAAAATAAAATGCATAATGCAACAGATAGAACATATGTTTGTTTAGAAGAAGAATATAATTTAAATGGGAAAAAAGTTTGCATACTAACTATACTATACTAACTAAACTTGTTACTAAAAATTATTTGATTAATCTCCATGATAATTTGATTAACTCATATGATATAATTATTTACTTTAAAATTAAATAATTTCGTTTGAAAAAGTAGTTCAAATTAATTTTTATGAAGCATACCTTATTAAATTGATTAATAATATTGAATTATAATCTTTACATAATTAAAAGTTATTCATAAAGTATAAAAATTTAAATTTATAATATTATTTAGAAATATTGCTACTTCAAATTAAAGAAAGAGTTTGAGAAATATAGCTTTGATTTATATTTCAAAGTGTTTAATTTATGATAAACTAAGAGTTCATAGAGAGGAAGTCACATTGATAATATTTCTCTTGCATGGCAGCTTGCACAATGTTGTATTAATGAGTTCAAATTCAGTTCCGCCATTTTAACCTTATATCCTATTTTCTTGTAATTAAATATTTTCTGTTATAGAGTGTGCTTGCAATAATTTGACCTAAACGCAACTCACTCAGAATGAAAATTCAAGCATTTAATATGAATTAAAGTAATATGAATTCATGTACACAATGGAAAATTAGACTTGAGATTAACATATTTATCAATATATATGCATGCTAGAGATATAAATAGCTGATAGTGAGTGTTAGTTGATATAAGTATAGTGCTAGGGAGACAAGAACAGAGAAAATTGGGCAGCTGGTCACTTGAGGCCAACTTACCTTATTCAACTTTAAAAGCAGACAAATCTGTTGATTTTTTTAAATCATTCCTTATACCATGCAATTTTTCATATAACCAATTGAAGTATAGTCTATGCTCTTTAGTACAACCCCTTATCTTAGCTATTCTTCCATTATAATGACCAATACATTAACTCTCGTTTATTACTCAATCAACACAATGTTATCTCAATCCTCATTAGAATGTCCAAACTGAACCATTCATTTAATTTAGTAACAGAAATTTAATATTTGAGCAAAAATTTCAGAGAAATTATTTAAATCTTTTTTTAAACAACACTGTGAAACATCTTGTATGTCCTACAAATTAAGGGCATCCACTTTGATTCTCACAATAGGTGTTCATGATCTACAGTCAATAAGTTAGAAAAAAATTTAGATTATTTCATATTGATAATCAAAAGCATACATTGCATATAGAAACCAGCACAAAATTACTGTGATTTAAAACAGTAATTAAATATTTTTTTTAGCAATTATTGACACCATAAGAAATTAGATTGATAACCAAATGAATTACAAAATTTGTTACATAAGTAGTATTAAATGTTTTAGTTTTTATTATTTTTTTTTTTAAATGTGATGTATTTCTGTTATTTATTAAAAATAATTTTATTTATTTTTCTCATATACAATTGAAAATGTAATTTTGTACTCATTTTTCCTTTTATTTTGTTACATGCAAAGGTTAGCTATCTATTACAAAAATAATCCATAATTTTTTTTGACCATTTTATGACAAATTTTATAACAAACTGCAAATTAAATTATCTTCAAACCAAATGATTTTCTGAATCTTTTATATCAACATTACAAGATGAACAGATCAGTCAGTTTGAACTACACAATTATCAGAATATGGTAAAGAATCAACACAGAATTGCAAGACATTATTTCCCCTGGAATAAATGCTTCTGTATTTTAAAATTAGCTTCTGTCGTCATTGAATAAAAAATACTATTTAAGTCCTTAATCTGTTAACTGGGTATGATAAAATATTTTGTTATACATGAACTGATGCTGTAATGGGCATGGCGACATTTGTCATCATGGAAATTACTTAATATTACTTAAAACTAGGAAGAACAAAAGCCCCCAATACGAAACGAGTTGAAAAAAAGTGTCTTTCGGTAAACAGATTAAATGTTCCTCAATATGATCATGCAACAAAGTGGTTTAGACTTGTTTTTAATTTCAGAGAAATTCAAATACATAACACAGAAAATTTTCAAAATAAAAGGTTTAGAATAGCATTTAAAATAGTAACTAGATATTTTATTTAGTAAATATCCTATACATCACAAGAAATTAGATTAAAAAACCAAAATGAATTACAATTTGTAATTAAATTTTAGTATTAAACTTATTAGCTAAAAAACATACATATTCTTTTGTGATGTATTCTTGTTATTTATTAAAAATAAAATGATTTATTTTTTCACATATACAATTTGAAACTCATTATATTCACTTCAGCATTTTGTTTTTTTGCAAAAGATATCTGTTACAGAAATAATTCTACTAATTAATTTTTCTAATGTTTTCCTTTATCAATTAAATTTAGTGTTTTTATCAATTGAATGCTTGGCTAACGTTGGAACTATTTTGTGTAAAATTTTATTATAAACTGTAAACTGATTTCTCTTAGCTAACTAAATGACTAGCAGTATTTTTGCACCAGAATTATGAGAGAAAAAAAAAGCCAGTTTGAACTGTTATTCAGCATAGGCGAAAGAAATTCAATTCTGAATTGCAAGAAATTATTACCATTGTAAGAAATGTTGCTGTATTTTTAAACTGATCCCTGTCTTCATCAAACAAAAGAAAACTTACTACAAAATAGAAGAAACTTTTTTGAAGCATTTCATAGTTAATAGTAACCCACTCAATGCTGACAATTCCTGATTTTCCAGTTTTTACTATGTTTTAAATCCATCTCATAATGAAAGAAACTAGTAACAAAATGATTACCTTTACTCGGATAGATAGATCTGCTAACATTTTCAGAACCATTCGCAGGTCTGATCGTCGAAGAAGCAATTTCCTTATCACGAAAACACTGTCGGTAAGCAGTCTAAAAAAAAATATGCAACATATAATTTGTCAAATTTTTAAAAATCTTTAACTAATTTATCTTTAATTAATTAATTGTTAAGTAATTAATTTATTACTTACTGAGGACACATCTAATGGCAAGATAACAATAATGATGAAAGAAAAGTACCATGCAATGAAAACATTCACAGTAACTAACACATGGTTTTTTCTACAGTTTCCATATTTTTGTAACAAGTAAGCAACCAAAAGAAATGTAATAATGATTTCTAACACAAATGGTCCAACAATCATGCTTGAGGAAACTTTAAAGCATTTCCATCTGTAAATAAAAAATCTATTTGAAATAGCAAATTCCAACAAAACATTTTAATAATAAAATTTAGAAAGTGAACATTTTAAATAAAAAAGAGAACAGCTAAATCTGCAGAAATAATTAAATTCTTATTTAAAGTCATTATTTACATCAATTCATAAACCCCTATTTGTGTAATGAGTAGGGTAATGTTTTCATACTTGGTGGCAATAGTACCATTAATTTCAAACTACAAGTAAAGCTTTGTTTCCACTATGCCGTTTTTTTTTCTTCATTGTTAACCATTACTGGGCACATTTTTATTGGTGCCACTTTTACTTTACGCTAAAAACGGAAACAACCATTAGAACTCCATTAAATTAAAAATTTACTTTTTATTGAGATCATATCAACATTACCAAACATACATTTTGTACACAGCAGATCTATATCAAATGTTTTCACCCAGTTTCCTTACCAACCCATCATAAATTTAATTTAAATATAGCAATATAAAAAGGTTGGACAAAATAATGGAAACACTTGTATACTGACACGTTTTGATCTTTTTCAAGAAATACTTAGAGCCATGCTAATTTACTAATAGCAACTATTTTAAAAATTTATTTGTGCAGATGAACAATAAATATTGTATATTTAAAAATTTCATATATGATGGAAAATCCCATAGAAGGAATTGTCAAGACATTGGAAAGTGCGGAAAATGGGTATCTGAGGTAAACAACTTCAAAATGTCTTTATTCAATAAAAAATAACACATTGACGATAATTAATGTCAATTTCAATTACCAACATATAAATCCATGTGGTTTGTATGGTTGCACTATTTTCCTAGCATTTGTTACAAATTTCCACATGGTTTTAAAAACCTTGATATTTTAATATGACATTGTAACATACCGCAAGTTCGGAATCATGCATTTCAGTTAATAATAATTTATCGTTTAACAACGAATCCGGGTGGTTTTGACGTTTGTTTTTCGGTAGTTATTGAACTGGATTTTTACTTGGTTTTTAAAATCTAAATGTTTTAATACGATATTATATTGTTCTGAGAATTTCGAATTACGCATTTTGAACTAAATTATTTATGATTCTCCCTCAATTCCACGTGGATTAAGGACGGCACTTTTGTCAGTTATTGCTGCTGATTAACATAGTTTTTTAATGCTACATTATAAAAAACGGGAAATTTCGAATCACGCATTTGTATAATTACTTTGCAATGCACTTGATTTGAGATAACTTATTGTTCATGCGATTTTGTTGATCGTTTATTCAACAGTTTATATTTCCACATAGTTTTTTAAATTTTCATTTCCCTTTTAATATAATATTATTACGATTCCTAAAATGCACTTTTAAATAATGACTTAATGATCCGCTTTAGACACGACAGTTTAATCTCAAAACCGCAATTTTTGCATACTCTGAAATTAATGTGTGATTCTTGGCAATAAGAATCCATTTGTACGAGATGGGGGGACTGCAATTTTTTCAGGCTGTAGCAAAATGCGGAATTTTGCTTCGTGATATCCAACCTTTTTAGCCTATTATAGCGGAAATCAGATAAAAAATTTTAAATAATAAAGAAACGGAAATTAGCCGAGTATTCTCCTCCCCACATGCTTTTTTGAATAAGTAGCAAGACTAAAAAAAATTATTATTATTTTGAAAATTGAAAAGAGTTTTGCGTACTTTGATTGTTAAAAAATGTCCGGAAAAGAGACCCTTCGAGTAAACAGACGTCTGGATATGTGACTTTGTACTGTATATAGAGGGGACTGCCCAGGGTAAATTTACTACTATTTAGCAGCACCTTCACAAATTCAACTTTAGAAAAACTGGTAGTTTTACATAATACTATTAAAAAAGTAAGCTCTCATGCAAACCTTATTCTCGTTGCAATCTATGAAAATGAGGAAAGCTTTTTTCAGTAAGTTTTTTTTTTTTTTTTTTTAATGAAACGACCATGCTCTCCCTCCTTGAACTTCACAGGAAGTCAAAATTCGAACATTATTCTAATTTGAACATTATAAACACTATTGTAATTTGTAAATTTTTCAAACCTACCATTATTTTTCATGAAAATTTTTTTTCTCAGTGAAACTTTTTTCTGTATGACCTAGTCGAAAATGTTTTCATAATGAAAATAACTTTTAGTACTAGTACCGTCAAATGCATGTTTTTATTAAATTGAAATTGATATTTAACTATGATGATGACAATAATTTTTAAATTTGGATATCATTTTAAGCCCAACATTTTACAATAGCAAAATTATTTTTGAGTATATCAAGAAAAATATATAGAAATTTATCAGTCATAAATGATTTTTATTTGTATGTCTAAATTTTCACATAATAGGTACTTCTTAAACCTATACAGACCCATGATATATGTTTACTTAAAATTACACAGACTTGCATTAGCTCTTAAACTCAAAATTAAAAAGATTTTTTGGAAATATTTTTTTTTCCATTTAATTATCATTAAACTGAAGGTATTTATATAAATACAGTAAAAGATCTTTATGAAATCTGGGAATTAGTAATTTCCAGGGGTGATTGTGAGCCCAAGTCAAAATTCCGAAAATTTCTTGAGTTTAAAAATAAAAAAAAAAAACAGTTTAAATTGAAAGAAAATTTAAACAAGGTTTTTTTTTTCCTTTTGCTCAATATTTCTTAGTTCACTTAAAATATTTTTAAAATTTTACACATACTTATACCATTTACACATATACCTATGATGACCTGGAGAAGTAATTAAAATGTACAAATATTTCCTTCTTTTTTGAGTTTATGATTATAACAACTATTTACTGATAAAAAATTAATATTAATCATGAATATAAGCTTATAAAGCATCTCTCTGACTCTCCTTAATAAACAAATAAAATAAGCAGTGTTTTTAAGTTCCACCTTTGAAAATTTGATTTCCAGAAACTTCTGTGATCAATGATTTTTTGAAACGTCTGGACCTTCAATCACCGGAAACTTCCGGATCACTGTTAGCGAAAATTCCAGAAATCCGGTTTTTTTCCGAAGCACAATCAGTCCTGAATTTCTGGAAGTTTGTGTTATCTAGATCATTTCACTTATCTTTAAAACTTATTTACTAAATATGGCAAGATATTTCCGTATTATGATCTGTTGCGCCAACTATAATTGCCAAGGTGCCAAATAGATTTTAAACTTGCAAATTGTTTTAAAAAAACATGTAGATGCTTGCTCGGGAGTGGCTACGTGTTATACACTTCAAGTTGGTCCTATTCTGTGATTTTTTTTCGTTCAGTTTCTCGCAGGCCGCTGCCCGGAAATTGCCAAGACTTGGCGATCATTCTGCCACAGAACAGGATACCGAAATCTCTCCATTATGGCCATATTAGTCTCGATTAATCTTAAAATACTTTGAAATAATTTTTATATACAACTACTTAAAAACGCTTATGCACTTAACTATGTATTATTTAGAGAAAAAAAAAATTTCGGATTTAGAGGGAAAAAATAAAATTTGTCTCCGTTTTTTTAGTTTCTCACGTGCCAATGCCGGAATGTTGGTTAATTTTTTGGACATTTGGTTAATTTTTTTGAGCAATCACAAGTTTACGGAAATCTTCTGATTTAGGAATCTGATTATATATAATGACAGAGCTCCAATTTTATTCTTCCTTTTTTGACAAACGATGATAGCAAACCTTCATTGTTTTAACTTAACCTATTCATAAAATGTTCCCTTTTGAATTTACTTTAGATAAAACGAATCATGGGAACTGAAGCCACTCGAGACTTTTTTCTAATACTGAATGATAAATCTAATACAATGTTTATTTCCATATGACACATTATTTTGGGGAACGACAGATTGTCTACAATAATTCTAAAACAAAAAACAGAATGTGAAAGACAAGAAGAAAAAAAGCAGTACTGTTAGACATCACCAACCACAGAGAGAAATCAGTCCAAATCTTGAAACTTAGTTTTACTTTAGTTGTAAGCAAAGAAAGGGTGACGATATTCATTTTTTGAATATTATTCAGTAATTCATAATACGAGGTTATAGCTTACTTCTAGTAACATCAGGTTTATTCACACTAATCCCAAAAATTTCGGCATCGTGCCTCAGATGAGAATGCAAATATGATTGGTGAATTATTTACAGGCAATTCACCCAGGATACAGTTTTTTTCTTGCATGCAAAAGGAGCTGATTGCTAAGTTTTTCAGCCACTGCAAAGAAAGCACCGTGACCCTAGCAAAATTAAATTGAAAACGCAAAACGATAAAATGAAATAAATGATTCCTCAAGCCTCGATTCTCACTGCTCTGTCATGACGCAGTTTTTTGACATGTTCTCACTGCCTGTCGAGATGCAATATTTTTGTATAGTTGAAATGTGTAACGATAAAAATACCCAACATTGTCCAGCAAACATGAGGTAAGTCTTTTGTAGACTAGTGCGCATCCAATCGACCAGACATTGTTCAAAAAACTCACGCTGGCAATGAGTGCGGTGAGAAATTTCCACCATCTCTTCCAAACAATTCGGGCAGGTTTCGGGTGGGGCGTAGTAACACTGTTCAAAGGGTAACGTAAGGAGGCAATTGCGAATTTCGCTGACTAGGAGAATCCGCAATGCATCGGTCACGTGATACCTTTTCGAAAACCAGACATTCACAATAGTTTGAAGCCATCTCATACCAAAGGAATTAAAGGTCCGGTAAGCTGTGCTTACGTGACTCATATAAGTCTAGAGACGCAACTCTCGATCCATGAACCTTTTAAAGACACCTCTCACCCGAGTCACATCAGAGTGGATTTCCAGATCGAGGAATTTAAGCACTGGATGCACCTTGTCCCCCAATTCCACGACCTCCGGCTCCTCCATCCACAGCACCTCCCGAGGAAGAGTATGGAGTGGAAACACCTGATCCGTTGTCAAGGGAAGGAGATTACTAATAATAAAATAGTTTGCCATCTGGAATTGACTGTATGTCAAAATATAACTTCTCCTCGGCGTGCAAGCCCTTTTATAGACAAATAGAGGGCGCTGATGCACTTCCAAGATATCATATGACAAAACATCCTATCCGATCCATCCTTTCGATATGTGTTTCCAAGAAGTCGTGTGACAAAACACATCCACCAGGTGCAGTTTTAGGATCTCATGCGACGGATCACCGGATGCGCTGCCAAGAAATCGTGAGACAAAACACATCTACCAAATACACTTTTAGGATGTCACGGGATGCGCTTCCAAATAGTCGTGCGACAAAAACACATTCGCCAAATACACTTTCAGGATATCACGTTACAGGACATCCGTTCGAAACATCATGGATCCAGAGGATGTGGCAATTTCATCCAACCCAGGATATTTGAAATCTTTGAGATGGTTGCGTCACGGGGATCATTTGAAAATTTTTGAAATGTCCTGGTTCTCAAATCCCGGGGCTGGTTTGCGATATGAATTAGATTCCGAGATCATTGACCTGAGGACATTCTGATGATGAGTTGAGAGTGTGTCGAGACTCGAGGCTTGGCTCAAACACTCAGATGAAGAAAAAAAACTCGACAGGAAGTTGGCGTGGCCAAACCTCAACGATTGCGATTGCACATGACAACGACAGCCAAAAAGTTGCTTTTCGAAAAAATCAAATTTCGTCTCGACCAAAATTTGACTCGACCCAAAATCTCCGGCCGAGTGAAAAAATAAATTTCTATTTTTGGCATTAAAGCTCATCAATTAGTCGTATTGTTTTTTCACACATGAATCAATTTTTCACACATCAACAATTTATAAAACTATCTTTTCACCATTATTTTCCGGTAGATATCTCATAAAACGCGTGCGATATCACGTTAAGAGGTGAAAATATAAAAGATAAACAGAATCCCCACCCCCTACCCAAAGACCCGGCTTCACATCAATCTGCGAGTCCACCTCCAAGGATTTCAGAGCCCACTCCATGAATTTCAAGCCCAACTCAATGGATTTCTGAGCATCCCACCAACTCCATGAATTCCAGATCCAACTATATGGATTCCGGATCCTCACTCCATGGATTCCGAATCTCCACTCCATGGATTCCAGATCCAACTCCATGGATTACGGATCCTCACTGCATGGATTCTGGATCTCCACTCCATGTATTCTAGATCCAACTCGAGGGATTCTAGATCCCCACTCCATGACTGTCCAACCCTTCCAAGTTCTCTACCGTGTGTCAAAGCCATGTTTTTCAAAAAATGTCACGCGATGCCAGAGCCACCCAACCCAATCCATTTCAAAAATTCCCCAGCATCCATGTGTCAAAGTCACGCGTTCCCCGTGGATGTGGCAGCAGCCCATGGATCCAGGATTGACCGTGCGTAAACTGCGCCAGAAGAAAATGTGTCGAGACTCGTTTCAAAAAGATTAACGTGAAAAAACTTTTGGATGTCTGCTAGGTGTCGAACTTAGAGAATTTTCAAGAATATATTCACTGGAACTCTCGGCACCCACGAGTGGACGCAGTCCAATGGATAAGGTCTAGACTGTATCGATAGGATGGCTTCAACTCTAGTAGCGAGCCGGCCAGGTGGCCGAGTGGTTAGCGTGTCTGACTGCGGAGCCAATGGCCGCGGGTTCGAATCCCGCTCTGGGCATGGATGTTTCTCTCTGTGTGTTGTCTTCTGGTGTGTGAATGAGTGAATGTGGCCCACCCTATGAACGGGTTTGTGGCAGTATGGCGTGGGTAACGTTGCTCGCCTCCGTGACTTTGGTTCACAGGTGGCCACTGGGTAACGATAAATGACCAACACTTCCGGCATCTTCCATGGCGAAGAACGAAAGTTCAGTGCCTGCCGTTATTAAAAAAAAAAAAAAAAACTCTAGTAGCGATAGCTCCAGAAAAATTTTGACGAGCTGAGATCATCAAGACTCTACGCCTCGCTTAAATCGACAACGTGTTTTTCGATCCACCACCGACCCCTTGTGAAATGGGTGGACAGACAAGTTTTTTTCCAATGCAATATTTTATTCATTTTTTTTAAATAAATTTTACAGATATTTTTTTTTTCGAGCGCTTTGATGATGCCGGGGGTTGAGGATGCAGCTCCCACCACAGGATCTTGCTTAGCAAGTTTCTCGTTTCGTTCAGTGCTTCGGCGGCATCTCCTTTCCGGGTGTAGAGTTGTTCCACGGAAATAGTCCTCGCCTCCGTGGCAGTGCAGGCAAACGGGTCGGGCAGCGTGCTTGTGTTTGCAGACGTACATCTTGTGTCCTTTGCACTTGACGCGACGCACGTGGGGCAGACCCAGTTCTGCTTGGAAAAACTTTTTCTGCGTCATGGATCGGAATCCCGAAACTCAGTAGTCTTAGTCCAGAAAGGTGAGAACGTGCTTCAGGACGTGGGTCTAGCCCCTAGGCTCCTTCTCAAAGACGCGAGGGTCGACGATGTCCACCCAGTGGGATCGGAATTGTCGATGCATCAAGGCGAGAATGGAAAACAGGCTGCGAGTCTGGGTGACGCTCTCTTCGGGGAAATGGAATTCGGCTGGAAACTGCATGGTCAGAATGTACACTTGATCTAGATTGCTGACGGGAGCAAAAGGAAATTTCCAATAGAATTTTTCTTTGGTTGGGCAAGACCATCCACGTGTATAATCCGCAAATGTCCACATTTGAAATCTTGTGGCGGCGGGATGAGCAAACTTGTGGTGACATGGCTTCTGGATCAGCTTGACTCAGCTCGGCTAATAAAGATTCAAATGAAGTGTCTCTGGTCTCGAGATCCGAATGATTTGAGGGACCTGAAAGCTCTGCCTTATATACTGCTCAGGCGGGAAGTGACTCACAGGATGTTTCGAAAATTTAATTATATATTTTTTTCAATGGATGGAAGACAACAATGGGTGGAGCGCTGTTGTTCAAACAACACGATGTAGCACTGTAAAGATTTTGAGACTCAAGGCTTGGCTGAAATCTAAATTGCTCTGCTATTTTTTCGAGTGACTGCATCGCGTGGATGGTGGGAATTGTCAAACCAATTCACGACTCCTGCCATTGCTCCTGGGACTCGTTTCAACAATGGGCGAATAGAATGGACACACGTTTTTCACTCGACATTTTATTCAACAGATGAATTGTGTTGACGGTCGCGGGATTATTTGTTCAAGCTTGGCACGACCCGCATTGTTAAAAAATGGGGAAACAGTCTCTAGACAGAGACCGATTCTCCATTTTTTTACTCATCCCTTTTTTGAAAAAAGGGATGGAAAAAAACCATGCGTTTAAAAAAAACGCTTTACAAGACGTTGCAGTCGTGGGTCAACCATTTTCTGAGAGCCCACACTTTAAGGTTGCCGCAATTTTTCCTCATCGATCTGGAATGATTGCCGCACGAGCTTTCAGCATCGGAATGGAGGAGGAGTAGTTCGAAGCGTGGGCAATCCCAGGTCCCGAGATCGACGATTGGAATGCTGAGCACTTGAAGGAGTTGTGCAGTTTCCACAGAGCCTTTGAAAGCCAGTCGGTTTCCCGATGGATAGGCTCTTAAAAGATGCTGGTAGATGTTTTGGATGATGGTTCGGAAGTCGGCCAGGGGTTGAGCACACTCGTGAGGTCGGCTCATCAAGAACAGTCCATGTATGTTGGCATACACAATCTCCGCAGATCGAGGTGGCTTTGAGGTGAATTGTCTATGGATAAGGTGACGTGAATAGGTGGTGCGTCCTCCCTCACCGAGAGAGCAGAGAGTTCCCTCACGTAATGTTGTCGATCTATTAAACAGCCTTGGAGATGAATAAATCCGCAAATGTGCGATCGCTGAAGCATGAATACTGGAGCTGATAGCTTCTGAAAAAAGAATATGGTTTGGCTTTGGAGGGCTGCTCCTTATATACTGCTCGAGCAGGATATGACGCACCACATCCTTTGGTTTCTTTTCAATCTGGACATCCAGCCCTTTCCATAAACCGTATAGACCCCGTCGTGTTCTAGAACATTCTGCCTGGGTGTGACGTCCCAGGCCTTTCGAATGAACCATCAAAACAAACTAGGGCAGTGTTCCATTTTTTATAAAGAAAACACGTGAATCATCCAGAGCGGTTGGTTGAGACCATCTGTAGAAAATAATAGTTTTGAAAATTGGATCATGTATTCATTTTGTGAATAGATAAAAACATGGATTCATGAAACATGTTTACTTTTTGAAGTCAACAAAAGTATTTTCAGACAGGTGATTT